GATCAAAGAATCTACCAGCATCATGTATGTGTGGACTTCCTTTATCCTGTCTTGATTCCTTAACCAGGACTCCTTCAACAGCACCTTTAAGAATACAGTACACTTGCATTTCACAGTAATGAAATCCTCCTTCAGTACTGAAAGTTTCAACAGCTTAGATAAATGCCAAATATTTAAAGCTACTAATGAGGAAAGTCCTCGTTATACACCAACCTCACGTTAGTCCACGTTCTAGACATTTTTGAACAAGTCAACAGGTCACTAACGCAACATCAGCTAATGAGCAGATCAGTGCTGTTACAGAAGAGACAGTGACTCATTCACCGCATGAATGAATTCTGAAGTTGAACCATGATAGCCCATGAACTGGAAAACACTATCCAATACAGGAGAGGGTTACTTTTTAACAGTTAAGATGAATCATGTGCGAGCTTTTAAACCCTGCCAAAACAAGTAATACAAGTTATTGTAGAGATGCTTATGGCCATCTGAAGTAGAAAAGACACTCAACTGAGCCAACTATTCCATAGTTTGTTTTAAAGTTCATCTGTTCTGTACTAGATTAGCTCCATTTGAGAGGGCACAAAATCCAACCTCACAAGCTCTGTACAGATGGTAAAAGCACCCTATGAAAGAAGGATGGAGAAACCCATATACTGTATAAAGTTCCTTGTATCTTACGGCACAACTGCATTTCAGTACACCTGGCAGAAATGCTAATTGCAATCTTCTTCCTTTATCTGAAATGTTAAAACAAAGCTGATGCAACTGCATCTGCCTCTTAAAACATCTTCCACTTCTGCTACCCACTAACGCAGGCACTACTTTCTGACTATGTGAATTTTTGTCAAATTTACAATTTATGGAAATGGTGGAAATGGAAAAGCGTTTCCATTAAGTTTTACTTCCAACAACTTCCTGAAAATAAACAAAACCCCCAACAAGGTCTAAATGCTAATTTCTCCTCTATTTTTTTCTAGTAATATCCAACAATATAAAAACAGTTGCACTATTTTTTTCATTTGTAGCAGCGTTCTGGGTAAACTGAACAATTAATCCTCTGAAATGGAGGGGCCTCCCCGACACAAAGTCTTGCCAAATACATACTTATAGTTCAGCTGCTGTTTTCCAGAAGAAATGTTCCAGTATGGCACATGTCCCTTCTCTTTATACATCAGCATTAAAGAAATAAGCATTTATTAAAGTGTAAAGAATCTTAGCAATGAATATACATTTTTATTAATAATCTGAGCTCAAACTAATGTTGCTCTCTGCTTTACTAAAGCTCTGGAGTCCGGCTGTACTAACACTTATCATTGCTGAGGTGTATCTATCAGATTAAATCCATTATTGAAACAAGGAAATGTTGCATATGTATGTCTTGCTGAGGCGCAATCATGCTGTTAGAGCTGTCCAAGAAATCTGGGATCTAATGCTATTTTCCTCATTAAATGCAGAAGATTGTTAATTTCTCCTATAAGGTAACATGATTATTTCCCTAAATTAGCTGTACGCAGAGCTAGAATTCCAACCCATCAGTAAGGGTATTTCTACTGAAGTTTTAATAAAAATTGGTATCACTCACACTAATCATCTCTTCATGTTGTCACAGGTTTTTCCCAGTAACTTACAACTCTTGAGTTCTAAAGAGTTTCTATTAACAGTGCAGAGCAATACCACCTTCCCAAAAATAGAATTCAAGCCCAATTATTCCTCAGATTTATTTTTTTTTTTTTTACTAGCAGCACTTCAGACAGCAATAAAATAAAATGCAGACACATGGTTCCACTTTTTAGAAGTGGCAGTCATGCAGAAGATTTTCAAAATTAAAGAAACGGGATTATAAAACCACAAAATTGACCCAGGGCCTTTGGGCATACAGAGTACTTACAGTTATAATTAATTTTTTAGTGTGACAAGATTTCAAAACTGACTGTGGCATTCTTGAAACAGTTTCAAATTTCCTCTATTCCAATATAGCAATTCTAATCACAAATGAAACGACTTACCATTCAGTTCAAAATTAAAACTACTTCAACATGTGTTAATAAATAGTGTACCTAAACTCTTGCTAAGCTGTTGTATAACAAGGGTGTACACAGCCCTGATCCAAGCAGCACAGGGCAGGCTGCTCTGCTGTCACGCCACCTAACAAGGCAGAGGCTTCAATCGGGGCTCCCACATTTCTACCAATGGCAGAAGTGCAGCCTCAGAGCACGTCCCTGCTTACCAGACCACACTGAGCTCAGACCATTCACCACAGTCTTTTCTCCAGTTCTTCCTGACATCAGCAATGCTCTCGCAAGTGAGTAGTCACATTAACAAAACCCAGAATTGCCAATAAGAAGTTGCGCGGTGTAACACTCATTTCTGTGGATCAGTACTAGTATATACTTAAGCACGTTCTGCACAGGAAGAGGCAAGACGTGTTCCTCCTGGGCAAGTCAATTCCAGAAGCGTTTCAGTGTTATTCTTAATTACTAGGATAGGGCCAGGAAGAAAGGCATCATTTCAAAATTAGCAGAATTAAAAGCAGATGAAGAAACACTGGGGCAGAAGGAATATGTGCACAAAGATGTAGTTTACAACTCTGATGTTAAAAAGTATTTTAAACACACAATGTAGGTGTTGTTTAATTATCAAATTGGGTTTTAACACAGGACACATCTATCTTCACAGCATCGAGTGTTTTCCTCACACATACAAGACCATGTGTATCCGCTTTCAGGATTTCACAAACAGACCTGGACTCATATTTAGTCAAAATAGTTGCCAAGTATAAGCTATAAAGGCAGAAGCAAAACATGAGACCTCTATGTCAAGAGAAAATAATTTAAAAAGTTAAAACTAAACTGAGGCTGGAGTTCTGGGCAATAAGGCAAAGTAATTATACATGTGGTAAATGCAAGAAAAATTAAATTACTGCAGGGCAGATCCGACATCTGTGCTAGCAGCAGAGCTACAGATCATTAGTTATAGGCATTTCACATCAAGTGCTATGGAAGATAATTTAAGCAGTGATGACACCAGCTCCTTCCCATCTCCTGCCCTAGTGACATTCTTTTTTCGTTTACAGGGGTTACTTCTTCCAAGAGTGACCTCTCAGACATTTTACATGTTAATGTTTGAGCAACCAAATTTTACTTACACAAGCTTTTATAAATAAAACCCCACAGTTTTAATATTAAAATACATTTATATTTTATGGTACCTTAAAACAGCAGCTACATGCAAAGTCGTAACAAGTGAATTAAATTTTAAATCCCTGATGAATTTTAATATTGTGTCCTTTTAAAATATAAATAATTTAGCATTTTCACTAGCTAAAACCTAAATATTTTTTTCCATTTATGCTGTAATTAAAAGACCTATTAATTTGTCTCTAGCACTGTACAGCTTTGATTTCTTAAGAATCACTCCTCTTCCAAATTAGAAAGAATTGTCCAAAAAGTAATTCAGAAAACTATTTCTGGTGGCGTATGGAAGGCTACCCTGCATTCATTTTGCAATTCCAGATGCTAAATTATTTAAAGAAATAAGTATACATACATGTATGTATTGGTGAACATGCAGTCTCTGAAGTTGACCTGAGGACACAGCTGGGAGACGAATCTCACGAGGCATATGCCCTATCAGAACATGTCTGAATTAATCCTGTATGGCCCAAAATGTGAAATGAAAAACAAAAGACTATGATTTTTTGCGCCCAGGTAGATAATTTTTTTATGTGGGCACTGCTGCCACCATATGGCCAAGCAGCTGAACTACGCCTACCCTTCCCCTGCACCTTGCAAACTCAACCTGCTCAGCACACTACCCCTTCTACAAGCCCTTTCATTCCAGCTTTCTACTCCAGCCTCTCACAAAGCCCCATCATTGCCACTGATTTCCCAAATTACTTCCACCTAAAAGAAGATTAGAAGGAACTTAAAGCATTCAGATCTTGCTGACAGCTTCTTCCAAGTATAGGCCACCAGCTATAGGAACAATTCAGTGTTGTAGAATTGTGCCAAACCTATATTCACAAAGACAACAGAAAATCTTAGAGACTGCCAGTCCAGGTAACTGAAGCCTAATTATGTGCCAACAAAGGCTGAAACAGTCCCCTTCCTGAAATGCCCTCGAAACATCCTCCCAGAAAGCTCGCTTTCAGAAAGCTGGACTCAGCACACTACCCTGTCACCTGCAGAGGCTCCGCAATCTGAGCAGGTTCCTCATACTGAAGAAACATGGTGAGTTAAGTCACCACGGAAAGCGAGTTCCGTAATTTCTCACACACAACAAGCAGGAGTCTACATTCATTCCTGTTTATTAGCTCTTATGAACAGTAGCTTGCTTCATACTTAAGTTTTAAAATACTTACCTGTTAAGCCTGTTAAGAATTTTTTTTTTTTTTAGCTCTGCTGCACATGACCTGGTAAGCTCACTTACACAAGTGCCAAAGGCACCACAAAAATACCAGCATATGCCATAGCTGTAGGTTTAACTCCATCACCTGTGGGATAAGGCTCCACTGGTCTGAATAACTCAGCAGCACGCTTGCAGAGCTTGGACCCAACTTCCATACATTTGGGCATTACATTTGAAATAATCCAAAGAACCACGCAGTACTCAATAAATACCATTTATAGTTCCTTCACCCTGTCTCTAGGTGATCAATGAAGATATGAATTCTGCAGTTTATGAACCTATATGCTCACAGATCACTTTTTATTTGCACAACTATTTCACTTACAGCTTTCTAAAAGGGAGTAGGAAAAAAATCGTATCATGTATGATGACAAATACTGTGTATCATTTTGGCAAGGCCACAAAGGAACTCAAAATGCCCCAGGGCTTCCCGGAGAAAGTTAGGCTGCAGAAACCATTCATTCAACAGACACTATCTTTGAAGAACTGCGTAAGAGAAAGGCTCAGTCAGTCAACTAAAATGTAAGGCAACTGAACAGTCCCTGCTTTCTCTTGCATACCAGTCAAGAAAAAGATGTGAATACACTCACCTTTTTTGCTCTTTGTGCTATATTAGGCGTTCTAGTGAGAAGCTTTTCAATCAGGTATTCTCTGTTCTGCAAAACCAACATGTAGTAAGTTAAAAATCAATACAAGGAAAGAAAAAATTTCATGTAGATTTTAAGGCAGAGCAAAATTTACTTGTAGGGTTAAACGTTTTACCTTGGCTTTCTGGAAAAATTTGCATTTTAAAAGTTCTGCTGCTGTGGGCCTGAAAGATCAATAATAAATTAGAACAGAAAACAAAGACCCCTCTCAGTGAATACAGTACAAGACGTTAGTTAAATGGTACGTCTCTAATACTTCTGAATTAGTACTGTATGAATGGGGAATGAATGATAATAGCTACTGAATTAATTCACACGTAGTCACTTATCACACATGAAAAAATTAAGCCTCCCTATGGCAAAAATACCAAAAAAAAAAGAAAAAAAACCCAAAAAACCCCAGTCTCTAAGTTGGCAATTTTCCCCCTTTTTCTTTCATCACAAATGCATTTTACCCTTAAAACAAACAAAAACCAAACAAAAAAAAGTCAGGTATCATGTTCTTCCCCAGGTGACTCTATGAATGCAACTGACCTTTGCTCCACAGCAATAAAAGAATAATTACATTTTCCAAACAGTAGTATCAATACCTGCTACTAGCATTCTTTTACTTCATTGATGTCAGCAGGTATTCACAAGAAACTATACTGGTACTATTAACATGATGCATAAATCAAAAAGACAGTCATCAGGAGCATCTTCCAACCAAACAGACAAATAAAAATCAAAGCAACAGTTGTAAGGTCAAAACCTAGACATTTCACTTTTGCTTGCAGTTCTGTTCAAGTCTCTTTCTTCCCGACATCGTCGAGTTTATATTTTTGATGTTGTCAACAGATAATCACAATCTCACAGCTACCAAAGTGATTCCAACAGCAGGATTTGTCTCCCCTAGCTTCAGGAATCTGAAAAGCTACTTATCTGGCCAAAGCCAGACTGTGGTACTGAAGCAGACTCTGGAGATAAAGCGAAGCATCTCTTGGGATGAAATAAAACCCTCCAGGTTCTTTTCATCCTTTCCATTAGGAGCCCATACCTATCCAAGACTAATTTTGACACAGCTAAATTTAGGGAAGTCAAAATCTCCAAGATTCATCATTTCTAAATGAACAGAAGCAACATCTGCTACAGTTTTCCATTTGAATTAAAGCAAGAGATTGGCTATAGCACAAACTTGGTAAGACAGTGGAAAGCTTCAATTTGGAAAATTTCTGTCTCAAAAAAACCCCAAAATCTGAACTAGTTTATTTCTCTGAGGACACCTCTGAAGAGTAAGTGAAGAAAAGAGGAGTAGTAAGTCGTGTTTATGTATATATCGGTTCACTCCTGCTAGAAGTAATGAAATTACTCCATTCCTCTACTATTAATTATGCCTGACATCAACAAAGAGCATCCAATTTAGACACAAGACAGTAGTTTCACAGAGCACTTATTCTTCCTCCCCTCCAAAGCACCAAACTCTACTATAAAGGAGCTCTTAGTAGTTGTACTGTGGAGACCACCAGGCTTAGCAGTAATTCACATAGAAACCTTGGATGAGCAAAAAGGAAGGGGAATGTTTTTAAAACAAACAAACAAACAAAACACATCCGGTTTCTGTATCAAAGTTTTAAAGTTCTATCTCAAATTAACTCTTAATTTTAAGACAAATTTCAGTGATCCAGTACCATCACATCACTTAACAGGGATATGCACAGTTAAAAGCTAGAGTCTTAGTAAAGTTTTATCCAAACTAGCATTCTCCATTCCTCTACCATTAATTATGCCAGACACTTCTGAACTGGTCTGGACATGCTTTCCGGGCCTGTTTTCCACACAGACCACGGCAGTGGATTGCAGCTGAGGACTGTAAGCAGCATCCTTGGCACTGGGGAGAGAGAGAAACACCCACACACAGATCCCCAAAAGAAAAACATCATGGTCTGAGACAACATCAGTGCAATGCCAGTCCTAGAATTTGCCACAAAGAGCAGGCACTTTTCCCACAATTGACATGACAACTACAGAAGTATCTCGATGCAAAATTAAATCCTGGCTTGGGAGAAATAAAAAAAATAGCAATGACCACACAATATAAGGACACTCACTCCTCGGTTAGAGTAACTGGCACACAGATCTAATCAACTTTCTGCTGGTCTAATTGTTCAATTCAAGGCAATTCTGAGTACAAAGATATTGCATGTGTTTAAATATCAGTGTAATAAATTAGTGTAATTAGTTTGAACACTAATGTTTCAACACTGACGTCATAACTACAGATCAGGCAACTCAACACTATGTATTCAAGGAGAGAAGGAAAACCTTTTTAATTATTTACTTCTCATGTTTTCATACCAATTTAAACTTGCCCTGAAAATTGCTGGACACTGGAAACGGAAAGAAGCTTGATTATCCAGAACACATTTCATTCTTAGCTGGAAGCAGCCAAACTGCAGCGCTAAGCTTAAAGCATCAGGACTTGCCACTAAGACCACCAATTGTAAGGGGTTTGGGAATCTGAAAACAGTACACAAGTGATCCTTCAGTGAAAAAAAGAATTTAAAGGATTTCAAGAATAAAGATGTTGCCACATAATCTTTTTCTTAATTTTACTTGTTCTCTAGTATTGCTGCTGTCACCTTTTCGACTTGACTCCCTACAACAGTATCCAGGACTTAAGCTAGTGTAACATCAGTGAAGTACACACCATAAAAGACCCACACAGTACTCAATCAGGATTGCTCACTCAGAACAATCTTTTTTCCCAGAAATATGAGCTCTGAAACTCTTCAAGAAAGTGATGTATTAAATACCCTTAGGAAATAATGTTAATTAGAATGTGCCTCCTCCAACTCTTCAGCAAAAGAAACCTACAAAAATGGGTCTGCATAAAAATGAATAAAGGATAAATAAATTAATCGTTCTGGGAACTTGGGACCTCAGCAATGGTTTTGGAATAGATGTTTAATGTTTTCATCATCTTGGCTATCCCATTCACAAAGCATAGCAAGAACAAACAAATCACAAAGATACTATGACATGCAACTGCCTACATAAACATGAGGAAAACTCTAAACAAGCTTGGAGCCCCTAACTTTACAGTAAAAAATAATACTTCTTAATAAGCAATTTTCTCTGGAAATACCCAAGTTAAAGGCAATACTAAGCTTATGTCACAAAATGGGAAAAAATCAACATAAAATTATTTATTTATTTTTAATTTATTTTAAAGGCCAAGAGACTAATATGTTTGGTTACCAACAGTTCTGTCTCCTCAATCTGAACAGTCTTGTTAGACTCATGCACAATATCAAGATTTTTATCTTGCCTCAGATGAGAAATTGAGATGTAGAGCAAGGACTTTTGTTTGATCAGATTTTAATTCAACAGTATATTTAAATATAAATAAATTAGGTTAACAACGCAGAAGAAGAAAACTTAAGCGACCATTAAAATGCAATTTCTTCTCCCCAGATGAAGATGACTGAAGGCTGCTACTTACAAAATTCAGATCATACACTTAAAGATGATGCTTAAACACTGTAATAATTCCACTGTACATGGCAATAATGACCTACCTTTTGGAAGGATCTTTTTGAAGGCATAATGAAATTAGTTTTCTAAAGGATTTGCCATACTTTTTCATCATCTCCTTGTCCTCTACACCTGTCTCTAGAGTGGGAGGGTCATTTTGAAGCGTCAGCATTAACACCTACAGTAAACCCAAAAAAGAGGTACTGTTAGCAAAACCAATTCAAAACATGTAGAAATTAGAATAGAATAAATATTCCACAGAATATGTATATAGGTATCTTGAGTTGCTATTGAAAATGAAGTAGTGCTAACTATGTAGCAGCATTAATAATATAGCTAACAGCATTAAGTAATACAAAGTGTTAAGTAATACAAAGTGATTGTTACTTTCATAGGAGGGTATTTGTGATAAGGTGCTGCTCCTGTTGCTAATTCAATGGCTGTTATCCCAAAACTCCACATATCAGCCTTGAAGTCGTAACCTCGCACCTGGAACAGAACCAGAAAGGAAAAACAAGGTGATGATGTCTCAAGTTCCAAAAATTAAAGACTGAAAAAAAATTTTTTTTTTTTTTTTTAATATTAGGAATACCTGCTCCATTACTTCAGGGGCCATCCAACATGGAGTACCAACAAATGTTTTCCTTACTTTGTTACGAGTAACATCACCTCCCGTTGCTAAAAATGCACTAACGCCAAAATCTGGGAAAGGGGAAAAAAGTCGAAATCTGTTAAACTACCAATAACAGAGCAAAAGTTTTACACTTTAGAAATGAAGTTAATTCATACAGGTCTACTTATAGAAACTCCCCGCTGCAGAGCTTACCTTTGTTTCATGACACTGTTCTTGAAATGCTATGGAATAGATGGCATAGTTTTATCTGGGAGATCTGCACTAGGACACTCAAGTTTAACCTCCTAGTATGCATCTTCCTGAATATGGTTACAAAGGACTCCAGTATGTCTGTCACTTAAGGTTTTCAAATGTGCACTTTGAGCCAAGGTTTGAAAGGTTTGCATCCACTATTGTTCAAAGATAAGGAGCTACTTCTGCATGGCTACTAAATTTGAACGCAATTTGAACAAGAGGGAATACTATATATAACTTAAATACTTTCAGAGATTTGACAAATCAAAGATAATCAGCAAAGTGATCAACAATATATATATTTAATAGTAGGCTATGACATGAATAGTTTTTTCCAAATTCCAAAATAGCAAAACCTTAGTGTTCTGTTAACGTGCCTCTATGTCAGTGACAGCTTCATGGGAGAGGTAGGGGATAAACGGAAGAAAGAAGAGCAGATTACCAATGTTTGGAGAAATACTGTCATTTTGAATGGAGCTATATGACAAGTATTTTAGACTGTGCTATTTACAACCCAGTTGTACTGAAATCAAGTAGTTTACTATAGGCCTACTTCAATTTTTATTTTCCTATTGTCTTCCTATTGTTCCCCGACTTTAAGGTTGGGGGGTGGGGGAGAAAATCAGGAACTACAGAAAATGTAGTTTTATCATTACTTTCCACTAAACAAACATTAAGCATCACAGACTCAAATTCTGGACCTCTTCTACATCGCTAAAACACACAGAAATACAGTAGACAAGTAAGAAGCAAGCTTCAAGCAGTATACCATAATTTTCCCTGCAGCTTGCATGATGAATTAAAAAAATATTTTTTTCTCCAAAATCTCTAAGTTATAGAATAGAGAGGTTTTGTTTGTGTTTCTGAGAAGCATGAACAGCCTCAGAAACACCTGCTTCTAAGGTTTTAATGTCCTAAAAATCAATGCTGGTATTAGTGACAGTTTTCTGAAGAGGAACTATTGCATATAAGGAAATGCTGAATAGGTAGAAATCAAAAATAAATAAATAAATGTCTAAATAAAGGAGAGCTACGGAAAAAAAATTATGTCCTTTTAGTTCCAAAGATACTTTGTATTAGACAGTTGTTCACAGGTCCTTTCAGGAACTGAGGTAACACAGCTAAAATCCAGACTTAAACTTTGCTCCCCTACTGCTGTTTTTCCCTATTAACAGAACATTAATTTTGAAAACGATAACAAACAACAAATATAAGTGGGTGAGGGAGGACAATGAAAAAAAAAACCACAACCCATAAACTAAGTAAAATCTCTTCCTGCAAAAGCTTCAAAGTGAAATATTGCAACATCTTACTAAGAAAGATGTGGTAAGTATTTAAGTCAAGTGAACATTTCACTATAATACTAGTCAAACACAGTCATATGTTTACAGAGAGAAAGAATGCTTTGATAGCTACTCAATAAAAACAAGACTTTAATTTCCCATCCCAGACATAGCTTTCACAAATACAGGTTATTTAAGAAAAGACATGACCTACAGTGGCAAGTTTCCTATCACACAGAAGACAAAGTATTATTGAGAACAAGTTCCATAAAGAGGAAGTGAAATGTATTACAAGGAAAGAGCTGAACAATTCAACAGTGTTAGGCACTAAAAGTCACAGCTAATATCAAAGAAAAAAAACAAATTTAACGAAGAGCCCTGATTTAACTCTATTAGTAAAGCATTTTGAAATTAAAGGAATCAAAGCTGCCCAAATAAGCACAGCCTACAAATAATTTAATCCCTAACACCTTTTTCACCTCAGCCAGGGCTGGGCATTCGGCCAAGCCTCAGCCAAGACCAACATCCAGAGTTAGTGTTAGGTGTATGGTTAGGAGAGAGACGAAGCCTTTGGCCTCCAAGGAAGCTGGGCTGCAAGGAGCCCGCTAACGGAAGGCACAGGCAGCAAAGGCGTTTTGTACCTGACAGCTTTTTCACCTCATCCAGGGCTGGCGCTCTTGGCCAAGCCTCAGTCAAAACCAAGCTCTAGGGTCAGGATCAGGCTTGGGAGAAAGACAAAGCCACTGCTTCCATGGCAGCAGAGCTGCAAAGCAGCTGCTGCAGGAAGGCACAGGCTACAAAGACATTTCTCCCCTAACCTTCTCACCTTGACTTCAGCCTAAGGCTCAGCCAAGCCCATCTGTAGGGTTACGGTTAAGACTGGGAGAGAAATAAAGCATCAAGCTCCTGTGAGAATGGGGCTGGCCAAGGGAAGCTTGGGCTGCCAAACCATTGTCCCTGATAAATCTCTGTCCTCCATATCTGAGGCATACGCTTTGCCTATCTTTAACCAGATCTTTTCCAAATATTTCTGTGGGTATGGATTACTACAGGAGTGAACACCCTGAGAACCACTGATGCAATGGGTAAGTTCACACAGCCACCTATGCACAAAACCAAAGAACAGGATCTTCTGCCTAGAATCCTCAAAACGCCCATTCTTCTTCTGACAAGTTTTACTGAAACTGTCATTTCTTGTATGGACTAATCATATCTTACAGCCCATACCTTCTACACTTCCACCAATCTCTGCTTATGATTGCTGTTTGCTATATGCTCCTTACCTCATCTCACATACCTCTTCCTTTACTGGCTTCTTTGATATTTTGTCCTTCACCAGGCAATTCAGGCTTAGAAGGCTGAAATCCTGAGGAAGTACCAATCATCTTGTTTGCTCAAAGCACCAGATGTTACAATCCCAATAGTTTTAAGTAGAATGTTGGAGCTGAGGAACTGCAATGACTATTTAATGTTGTATTTGTGAATAAGTCGAAAGTTTCCTGCTCTGTACAGAGGAATTTTGTACTTTAAAAATAAGTCTCCTCAATTTAAACGAAGCAAAAAGATGTATATTTTCATCTCTCCCATCAAAGACTGAGCAGATTCTTGGTGCAGAATCTCTGAGGTCTGTAATCAGAGGTCTCTGTAGAGCTATCCCAATTCTTTGAAGAATCTGTGCTCTTCTATATCTGCACAAAATCTTTTGTCGGAGAAACACTGGTTTGAGCTTCATTAGTAGGCCATAGCCCCTTAGAACCCAGAAATGCTAATGGACAACTCTGTCTTCATACATATTAGCAGTGTGTACTATGGATACATCTTTTCGTTATAAAAGCTTAGGGTGCAGGAGAATGAGCAGTCGAACCTAAGTTCTTCTAGCAAATAAGCAGCAAAATTATCAGGCATCTGTTCTTCAAAGATGAAAGGAGATTTTACTTTGTCAAGGCAAAAAGATGTCAAAAGGATGAATTTCAGCCTCTTTGATATTCAAAATTGGCTTTCAGTTAACTTGCAATGTTCAGCTGTCCCAAACAGAACAGCCCCACACCAACAAAGAAACAAGTTTGACACTGCTGCACTTTTCACCTGAAGATCAGAAATAAGCTGGTACTGAAATAATGTATCACAGAAAGAGATATTCCACATATCTATCCACCCACTGAACTTCCTCAGTCCCACATGCACTGAATGCCCTAGCAGCACAATTAAAGCCTTAATGATTAAGATGCCTACAGCAAAAAGGAGGAAAAGGTCCAGAAACCAAGCCCTGGAGTTGAACTAGAAAGGGATAAATGAAACTGCTGTTTGAATGTTATCTGATTACTGGGAGAGTAGATTTGATTATGTGTGAAAGTATTAATCTAAAGTCAACAGCTTTATTTCAGATGGCTCATGAGATTTTATCTTTCAACTTTTCAGTTATTATCATTATTTTTAATTAAGTTGGTTGTCTGTCTACTCCTTACAATATCAGAAGATCCAAAAAATACTTGAATAACACAGACCTAGAATCTCAGCAGTTGCCCAAAGTGCTATACAAAGTGAACACAACTGTAGGGTATAATCAAGTGAATAAATAAATATTAAGTATCTTATTAAAATTCAAGTCTGTAAAATTGACTACCTACTTAAAAAGTCTCGAACTCAAAACAGAAGGCTTAAAACTGCTCCAATTAGTAGATGGTTCACCTGCCAGCCAATCTTTTCCTGTCCAGTTTCATAGACTTCAGATACTGGCATATTAAAGCCCTCAAAATATATGTATACACAGTACTTTGAAAGCATTGTTTATATAAAGAAGAACTTTTGGCTATAGCCATTTTTATTACTGAGGGCTATTAAGCACAAAGTTTTCATCACTGGGTCATGAACTATATATGAACTGTGAAAGGCCTGGGAGTATTCTAGGAGAGGCAGCAGGTATCACCACCTGCTTGCTCTATTTTGCAGATATCTGATATTAACTTGAGAGATGGGATATGGGGTACTTAAGCTCTTATGAAACCAAATCATTTGATTCTTACAGACTACCACTCAAGAAGCATATAGAGACATTCAGAAGGTATTTAAGATGCTAAACTGTATCCAACCAATACCATTGCAAGACAAATGGTAGAAATGCCAAAAATAATTCTCAGTGAGATATATCTCATGCATCCCAGTGACTAGTTAAGTTACAGCCAAGGTCCTCATGAAGGGCAGTACACACAGATTTTTCAAACTCCAAGAACTATTACAATTACTTGCAGAAATAAATTAAAAACTTGAACAGAAATATGAGTTGCTACCATCTGCAAACTGTTTAAGGTCCATGGGTGATTCAAAAGCAAACATTAAGAGGACATTAAAAAGTTTCCTTAGATATTTAATGGGACACAGAAAAATACTGACTAATTTCTAAATCATGTATCATTAATCAAGAATCCTGAAACTGGCTAACTTGCAGCTACAGCACTCCAAAAGGAATAGTTAAAAGCCAACCGAAAAACTTGCATCTGTTGCCCCTAATCCACCTGCAATTACCTTTTTCTTTTATTTAGTCATTACTCTACCACTGCCATTACCTGCTATTTGTACAGAGCCATCTTCACCCAGAAGAATGTTGCCAGCCTTCAAATCTCTAGAATGTACAAACAGAGGTTACTTTTATGTATGAAAGTATGTACGTGCACATTTTATGTAAATAAATAAATATTGCATACTAATTAGCTTCACAAGATAGCATTTTAAAATTTAGAAGACAGAAACAGGAACCGAAGTATAAAATATAACTTATTTACAATAGAACAGAGTGCAGAACTCAAACTCTCACAAACTCTCTCTCGCATAAAAAGAACCACATGCAGCTTTGGTATAAAATGAGCAGACTTCAGGGACAGATTTTGAGAACAGAAATATTTAGGTCCAAAGTCATTTTACTGCCTTTTATAAATATATTCTCACAAACTGAGAGCTTTCAGAGCTTTAAAGCAAGAATGTTTTCTCACATCCAACTGCACCACTAATGAAAAGTTGGAAAAAAGTTCTCCTCTCTGATCTCTTCAGAGAAGAGACCCATCTTCAAGAAAGGTAAATATACTGCAGATTTCTACCCAATGAAGCTATTAAAGCTCAGGAATAGCAACCATGTTTTGCTATAGGGTACCATGATGAAAAGTTACTTGACACTGAATCTGTCAAAAATTCAGCATGTGCTTAACAGTCAACTATATCCATTTAACACACTATTCACACGTAATGTTAAGAAGAAACCTTTCTGGCTGTTGGGGTTTTTTTTAATATATATAGAAATGTGCATCCCATTCTTAACGCACAGGATAAATCTTTCATACAGAATATATCATAAACATTAATAATTTGAGCAAATGAATCTTGCCAAGATTTACTGAAAATAATTAACACATTGCTACTGAAAGGTAACATAACCTGTTCCCTTATACATAAACATGAATGCATCAAAACAACAGAACAAAATCCCTGAACAATTTTGGAAACATCTCCAACTGACAAATACCACCAGATACAGCACTCCCTGAACTACCACAGCTTTGACCTACAACACAGATGGGAAAAGGAACGTGCACTGTATCATCTTGAACAGGACTTCTGTGGTACTGTGCAGTTTACAAATTCGATGTCATAAAAAAGGAGAAATCTCAGATGTATCAAATAGATCTCTCTCTTTTTATCTTTTTAAGGTCCTTTAAGAATAGACAAGAGAAATTCCCAAATCCGACCTCAAAGGGCCCTGTTATACACTTAAAAGCTAGTGAATGTTCCTTCCAACAATATCAGCTTAACAAAAGACTATGAATTAAGGTTTGTGGCAGATCTTTGGCATTCCAGACCAGAAGTCAAGATAATTGTTCTTTATTTCTCCATTTATCTCAATTTTCTCTCTGCAAAAGGAGGAAATAGTTCTTGATTTACATCAGAGGCAGTTCATTTATAAGATGAGACACAAGAAGTACACATAAAGAACAATTACTGTGCTACATCTGCACTACCTCCATTCTCAGACTTCTGTCTGCAGAGAATCTGTTTTTGTTTAAAAGATTCCCTTATAAAAGGCTAATGCTTGAAACAGACAGAGCCTGTTGTAGGCACCTTCCTTAAAAGGCAAATTCACCTCAGTAAAATTAATTAGGGAGGTCAGAATTTACAGCACTTCCAACATCCAAACAGTGGAAGCAACCTGTGGATTGCTACAGCAGATATGTATAGATGACCCTGGGGGATATGCATGATTTACACTGAAGGAGTTAGTGGAGAGAGACTATATGGAAGAGAACAATCACTAGATGCATATACACCAAGATGCAGCTCCATAGTACCAATCCCAGCTTCACATGTGGTCATAAAGAGAGGTCTGTAGAGTTGTAATACACATTACTGATTAGCAGGAAAAAAATATATTTCACATTTATACAGCAGTGCCCGAGTGCAAGATTACAGGTTTACTGTGCAACACAACAACCAAGTCACAGACCATATAACATAAACTAGATTCAGATTAGATATTTGGAGTACCAGCAGGCACAGGAGTGCATACTTAGTGCAGCACAGACCATTCATAACTGTAAAAGACACAGACAGGGTAAAGACCAGGCAAGTACTAAGTATCAGTGACTAACTGCAGTCAAGATTATAGCATGTGCCCAAGAGTCATCATTTGATAATTACTGATCGCATTTACAGTATGCGAAAGAGGCAATACAATTTGCTTAGCCAAGCAAGTGCAGCTGACCAGTATCAACAAACTATACACACAACTTTGAAAATGCTTATCCCTGTGTATATTCTCCTACCTGTGAATTTGCCCATTCCTGTGTAGATAGTCTAAGCCCTCCAAAACTTCTTTAAGAATTGTTGCTATTATGGGTTCTTCAAGGACACCATTTTTGTGCTCTCCTCTGTTGACAATATACTTTATTATATCAAGCATTGAACCTATATTGCAAGTCCAGGAAAGAAAAAAGCATATATATAGCATTATCATATCAGATTCTTGAGAAAATTGTATTTCTTCATTCTTTCTATACTACTGCAATTTAAATCTTTGCATGCACGTGTAAAGACCTCATGTAACTACCTCTCAGAATAAAGCATACTGCTACCTCATTCAAACAAGAAACAAAGCACTGGTTTTTGTCAAGTATACTGTAATACTCAACTAGAAAGACGTGCTAACAGCTTGCTAAACTACCATTTATTAAAAATTCAGGAGTATCCCACATTTAAACAGACAAGTACAGCGAAGGTTTCAGTTTATTATCCAGCTAGATTATGGTTCATGTGTTCACAGTGTAAACATACAGCTGCAAGACTGGAAGGAGACATTCTCTGCAAACATTTAAATGATGACAACAACCCTAGTGACACCCAGTTTGACATTGAACTTCAGTTATTATAAATTTCAAGGAATCTAATAGCAACATTTTCTTTGTATCCAAGCATTTTTCAACAGCTCACAATAAATTCCTGTCATGAATTACTGGACTCTCTCAGAGTCTATGTTGCTTTTGATTGAACTGAACAATTCAACCAAATGCAACACAACAAGTGTTACTTTATGAGCACTTCCTGCCCTTGCTTTCTAGCATGATGGTGCAGTAGTCTGCTGCCATCAAGACTAATCTTGAAGAACAGCATGTAGCAACCAGGACCACCATATCTTATTTTGGAGCCTCAATTTGTAAGCCACAAGCACCACATTCAGTTCAGCCCCTTTTTCCTCTCCTAGAAACAAATAAGATTTTTATACTGTCAACCATCATCATAAAAACTGTAACGAATGTTTGGTTAGTTTAAGCAATAAAAAGGATGTGACGTATAATGCCTGTCCTACTAAGAATCTTCCTTGAGTAAGGAATGAGAAATGCTCATTACGAAATCAGGAATATACGCATTTTTACAGAAATAGAGTGTATTCTAGAGAAACTCAAAAACAGGCCACACTGGCAGAAGTTACTTAATTCTCATCAGTTTTCCCTCACC